ATCCCGAGCTCATCTCGGCCCATCTGGATGGCTCAAAGTGGACCAAGGCCTCGTCCAAGGTCACTGTTACCACCATCATCAACACTCAGTGCATCACTATTGGTGATGCCCTGCGGGATATGGACTCCAGGGATGTCATCTCGGGCGACTTTGTCCTCGTGGCCGGCGACGTCGTCTCCAACCTCGACCTCCGCCCCGTCATCGCCGAGCATAAGAGGCGCCGGGAGGCCGACAAGGGCGCCATCATGACTTCGGTGTACAAAAAGGTGGCGCCGTCGCACCGTACCCGCTCGCTCAACGATGACGTCATTGTCGGGCTCAACACAGAGACGTCCGAGGTGGTCTACTTCTCGTCCGAGGTCGAGTCGTCCAAGATTGATCTCGACGTCCGGCTCTTCACCGAGGTGCCCAAACTCGAGCTCCGCCATGATCTGCTGGACACCTTTATCGACATCTGCGCACCCGAGGTGCTCATGCTGTTTTCGGACAACTTTGACTACTCGGACTTGCGCTCCGACTTTGTGCGCGGCATTCTCGGCGCCGAGATTCTCGGCAACAAGGTCTTTGCCCACATTGTCTCCTCGCACTACGCCGCCCGCATCCAGTGCCTCAAGACCTACGCCGCCGTCTCGCTCGACGTTGTCCACCGGTGGACCTTTCCGCTGGTGCCGGACTCGAACTTTATGAACTCGTCGCTCTATCGCCACGCCCGCCACAACGTCTATCGCGAGCAGGGTGTCACTCTCGCCCGCTCGTCAGTTGTCGGCGGCGACACGGTCATCGGCCGTGGAACGTGCATTGCCGAAGGCGCGTCGGTCGAGGGCTGCATCATCGGCCGCAACTGCGTCATTGGCAAGGGCGTCAAGCTCGTCGGCTGCTACATCTGGGACTCGGTTACCATCGAAGCCGATGTCACGGTCGAGTCATCCATCATTGCCTCGGGCGCTGTCCTCCGCGCCGGTGCCGTCGTCTCGCCCGGCTCGATCGTCTCGTACAATGTTGTCATCGGCGCCGGTCACGTTGTTCCGCCGTCGACCAAGATCACCACCGCCGCGCCGTCGTCGTCGTTTGACGACGCCTCGTCGTTTGCCTCGGACTCGGGCGAGCTCGCCTCGTCACCGCTCGCCTCTTCGCCGCACGCCGCCGCTTTTCTCGCCCGCTCCTCACCGTCGCGCGCCTCGGCTGTGCCCAGCAGCCTGCACGCCGACGTCGGCGCCGGCGGCGTCGGCCGCGTGTACGACGACCCGTGCCAGGACTCGTCGCTTGTCCTCCGCCGCCACATCGCCACCGTCCACGACCTTGACGACGAGAGCGACTCGGAGTCGACCGCATCCGACGACTCGCTCGACGACGGCAACTACGACCCGCATTCGCACTTTATGCGCGAGATGGTAGCGACCATGGACCGCGGCGCGACTGAAAACCACGAAGTTGAGAATGTCGCTGTCGAGATTGCCTCGCTCAAGCTCGCTTTTGACCGTACCGTCGCTGACGTCTCCACCGCCATCCTTGTCTGGCTGCTCGGCGCTGTCGACGCCAAGGATCCAATCAACTCGACCAAGGCCATGCTCGGCAAGTGGAGCCCGCTGTTGCGCAAGTTTCAGGGCGATCTCTCGCGCGACGACGAGACCGATCTCTGCATCTCGTTCCAGGACTACGCCATGGCCCACCCCGAGTTTATGGCCGTCTCGCACATCCCGCTCCAGCTCCTCTACGAAGACGACATCCTCTCGCGCAACGCCATCCTCGCCTGGGCCGACCTGGTCAAGGAGGAGGGCGACGACGTTGCCATTCTCGACCACGCCGACCGCTTCCTCACCTGGCTTCGCGAGAACAACGACGAGTACGAGTACGACTCGTACGAGGAGTACGAGTAAGAGTAACACAACCGTGGTGGTGCAAGTTGTCGGTAGACACGTGCAGCGCAGCCTCATCGCGCCGCCGCGTGGCCCTCGGCATTGATGTGCTTGAACATGGCGTTGCGGGTTGGGAACTGGGTGAGACACACACTGCACTGCCACTGCGCGGCAGCGCCCTTGCCCTTCTTGCGACGGCGGGGCCGGCGCTTCTCGGTCACGGCTCGGTCGGGCTGGTCCTCGGTCACGGTCGCGCGCTCCAGCGCCGCACTCGATGACGTGTGCGGGACGTGGGTCTCGTTCCGCGCTGTGTCCATGTACACAAACCCGGTGTCGGCGCCGGCGCCATCAGCGGCGTCGGCGGCGAGCATGGCCTCACGCACCTGCGCTGCCTTGCGCTTGTGCTTCTTCGAGTTAAGGTGGTTCGAGAGCTGGCCCGGCGACTTGAACTTTGTCTTGCACAGTGGGCACCACGGCCTGCCGTCGGCGTCGACAATGTCGGCCGGTGCGATCGACGGCGCAGGGGGCTGCGCCGGCTGCGTCGGCTGTGCCGCAGCTGCGGGAGGCGGCTCGTCTAGTGACGCTGCGGCGTGGCCGCCGGCGATTCCACCGGTGTGGCCGGAGCCGAGAGCACCTGGTCATCGGCGCCGTTGCCGATGACCTGCTCCAGGGCGGCGCCCGCGGCAGCGGCGCGGAGTTGGGCCTCAGCGGCGGCCTTTTTCTTGTGCTTCTTGGAGTTATTGTGGTTGCGGAGCTGGCCGATGGTGCCAAAGCTCTTGGAGCAGAGCTCGCACTCGTAGACGATGGTCGCGTCGTCGCCCGAGGCAGAGTTAGCGCCAGTAGCGGCAGCTGCGGCGCTGGGAGCCACCGAAGCGCTGGCCGAGGTGTCGACGCGGTCGTAGATGGAGTAGTTGTCGTCGTAGAGGGCGGCAAACTCGTCCGAGTCCATCTCCTCCATCATTTGGGCCTCCCAAACCTCGCGGGCAGCCTTGGCTTGAGCGCGGCGGGTCTCAGCGTTGGCTTTGGCGCGGGCAAGGGCGGAGGCCTTGCGCTCGGCCTTGGTCTTGGCCTCTTGTGCAGCACGGCGTGCACGTTCCTTCTCGAGGGCGATCATGCGCGGGTCGCGGCGGGCGACCGACTTGACCAGAGAGCGAATGAGCTCGTTGTGCTCGATTCGCGCCTTGTTGCGGGCCTTGTCGTTCTTCTTCCTGGCAGCGCGCTTGATCTGGCGATTTGGCGCGGTCCGCAGGTCGTAGATATCGACCCATGCAAAGGACTTTGCGGTGGTGAACGCGTTCCACGCCGAGTAAAAGGCGCGGACGGTCTCGGGAGCCGCCTGCGATCCACCAAACGTCGGACGGGTCCGCGGCTTGATATCGGGCGCGGCAAGGTCGACCTCTTCGCGGTTGAGCGCCTCAAACAGCCCGCCCATGACAGCGTAGAACGAGTCGTCGTCGGCATCATCAAACGACGAATATGACGAGGAGGAGAAGAAGGGCCAGACGTTGACGAGAACAGCGTCGCCGTCGCCATTGCCGCCGCCACTCGATCCAGCGCCCCCATGGAGGATGGAGATGCGATGCTCATCGTACCACGCTCGCTCGTCGGGATCCGACAGCGTCTCGTACGCCGCCTGGATGCGCTGGAAGAAAGCATGGGCCTCCTCCGCCCGATGCAGGTTCTTGTCCGGATGCCACTCCCTAGCCAGTGCCCGATACGCCTTCTTGATGGCTGCTTCCGATGCGTCCAGTTGCAGGCCCAGTAGCTGCACAGTCAGGAGGGGAGAGGGGAGGAGGGTGAGATGGGGGCGGAGCCGGGGGGGGGGGGATGATGGGGGGGGGGGGTGGTTGTGGTGTGGGTGGGACAGCGAGATCAGATCAGATCAGAGCTGATCAGAGCTGATCAGAGCTGATCCTGAGCCATCCTCCTGCTCCTGCTCCTCCTGCTCATAGCCACAGCAGGCCCTTGCATCAAAATTCCATACCTCGTAGTGGCACACCATGCGCCCGGTTGCGTCGGACGACATGTGTGGTTGTTGGGTGGTGGGGTGGGGTGGGGTGGGTTGGGGTGGGTGGTGGGTTGGGGTGGGTGGTGGCTGGTGGGTGGTGGGTGGGGTGGCTGGTGGGTGGTGGGTGATGGGTGGGTGATGGGTGGATGGGTGATGGGTGCTGGCTGGTGGGCGATGGGTGGCTGATGGGTGATGGGTGCTGGCTGGTGGGCGATGGGTGGCTGGCTGACGAGGGACGAATGACTGAGAGGCTCTCCACCCAAAGCCGACAAAGGCACCGAACAGAACAATCCGACTGCCTGTTGCCCCCCCCCCCCCCCCCCCCTCCCCCCTCCCCCTTCCCCCTCGTCCCCCCACACCTCCCTCCTTCCATGTCCGCACTACTGCGTGCTCTTACCCGGGCACTCCCGCGCCACCCACTGCGGCCTGTCTCGGCTGCCACCACCACTTCGGCCGCCCGCACGATCTCGGGCACATCGCGGGCAGAGGGGCATGTTGCGGGCCTAGGGACTACGGTCGAGCTGAACAACGGGGTGGCCATGCCGCGGATGGGTCTCGGCACGTGGCAGGCCGAGCCGGGCGCGGTGGGCGCTGCCGTCACTGCTGCTCTCGCCGCAGGCTACAGGCACATCGACTGCGCCTCGGTGTACGGCAACGAGGGCGAGGTGGGCCTCGCGCTGGCGGCGGCCATCGCCGATGGCGTTGTTACGCGCGATGACGTCTTTGTCACCTCCAAGCTCTGGTGCACCTCGCACGGCACAGACAACGTGGCGCCCGCCCTCGAGCGGAGTCTGGAGCGGCTCGGACTGGACCATCTTGATCTGTACCTCATCCACGTCCCTGTCGCCCTCCGCAAGCGCGCGCCTGAGGACGGGGGCAACGAGGCTAGCGTCGAGATTGTCCACATTCCGCTGGCAGAGACCTGGGCTGGCATGGAATCTGTGCTTGCGGCAGGCCTCACCCGTGCCATCGGTGTCTCCAACATGCCCACCCTCACCCTCAACGACCTGCTCGGCTCGGCCTCTGTTATTCCGGCCGTCAACCAGATCGAGCGCCACCCGTACCTTCCCCAGACCGAGCACGCTTCCTGGGCCGCAGAGCACGGCATCCAGATCATCGCCTACTCGCCGCTGGGCAACGCGTCGCTCGACGCCCACGCTGCCCCCGGCGCCCCGCCGCCGCTTCTGGAGCACCCGGTCGTCGCAGACGTGGCCGCCGCCGTCGGTGCTACCCGCGCACAGGTCCTCCTCGCCTGGAACCTGGCCCAGGGCTCGTCGGTCATCCCCAAGTCGGTCTCGCCAGCTCGCATCGTCGAGAACGCTGCCTCCATCGACCTGCAGCTGCCGGCCGACGCCCTTGAAGCCCTTAACGCGCTCGATTGCGGCAGGCGCTATCTCGACTTTGCCTGGACTGGCTTCTCCCTCTTTAAGTGAGTACCCGCGCTCCGTGGCACAACTGTAAACCTGCAAGGGCATTGCGGTCGAGAGCGCCGCAGGCGTTCGGACCTGGAGCTCAGAAGAGCTTAAAAGCCGAGAGCATTGACGCGGCCTTGATGGCGCCGCGAACGTCAAAGCCCCACAGGTTCTTGATGTCGGCGTAGACGACATCGAGCTTTGCCCGCATGGCCGGATCGGGCCGCTTGACCACCTTGGTCGCCTCGGCGACCAACTCCTTCTTGGTTGCCTCGTCGAGGGCCACCCAGTAGTTGACAATGTCCTCAAACCGCGCCGTCCCGGCCTCCAGCTTTCCCTTGCCCTTGCCCTCCTCGTCCCCCTCCGCCGCTCCCATCGCCGGCCCTGTCGACGCTGCCCGTATCCCACGCCATCTGCCGATTGCCATCCACCGCCATCGGCTGCCTGTCGCCGCCGTCGGCGCAGCACCCGCCGCCACACCCACAGTCGGCGCAGCAGCCGTCCACCGTCCCGCCGCCCACCGGCCCGCTCCGCACCACGTCAAGCACCGCGCCGCCATGCAAGCCTCTTGCACCTGTCCCTGCTTCCTGCTCTGCTGCGGTAGAGAGCCGTGTCGCCTGTCGCCCTCCCGCAACACGCCCTGCTTGTCGGCCACCGCTGGCCACTGCTGCCAGCCGCAGCCAGGGCTGGCTGCGGCTGGCGACAGATACAGCCCATCTCGGCCTCCGATCTCGACCGCCCGATGTCTGGCCTGGTTGCGGCATCGGATCAGCCCGATGTCTGGCCTGGTCTGGCCTGGTTGCGGCATCGGATCAGTCTGGCCTGGTTGCGGCATCGGATCAGTCTGGCCTGGTTGCGGCACCAGATCAGCCCGATGTCTGGCCTAGTCTGGCCTGGTTGCGGCACCGGATCAGTCTGGCCTGGTTGCGGCACCGGATCAGTCTGGCCTGGTTGCGGCACCGGATCAGTCTGGCCTGGTTGCGGCATCGGATCAGTCTGGCCTGGTTGCGGCACCGGATCAGTCTGGCCTGGTTGCGGCACCGGATCAGTCTGGCCTGGTTGCGGCATCGGATCAGTCTGGTCTGGTTGCGGCACCGGATCAGCCCGATGTCTGGCCTGTTACCGAGCAGGGGCGAGTCGGCTAGCGTGTACGGCGCGAGGGTGCACTTGACTCTGCTGCTGCTGCTGCTGCTGCTGAGTGGGGTCATGGCGGACACGCGGGTGTCGTCGGTCTGCCTCAGCATTGGATATGCGCCCACAGGGCGAGCAAAGTGCAAGTGGTGCAAGGCAGCCATTGCCAAGGATGCGCTCCGCATCAGCCGGTCTGTCCCTTCGCCCTTTGTACGCAGCAGCTGGCCAAGGGGGAATCAGAGAGGGAAGGAAGGGAGGGGGGGGATGCTGACTCATGGTGCTGATCATGGTGGAGATGGATGTATGGATGCTCATGCCCATGTGCTGTCGCTGATGAATGGCGTCGCCACCAACTCATCATGGGCCGTGACGTTTGCTGGGCGATGATGGGACAGTATGACGGGATCATGACGCTCCACTACCACGCCAGCCCTTGCTTCTTTCACAAGCAGCTCAAGATGCGCCCGACAACGTACAAGTTGCGGGATGTGAACCAGCTCGACGGGTTTACCGATCTGCGGTGGCAAGACCAGGTGGCGTACGCAGAGCAGCTAGCAGCTCACGTCGCCGATCTTGATGCTGGCGTCCTCCCGCCGCCTCCTCCCACCGACGACGACAACGACGGCGATGATGCCGACGACGGGCCGCCGCCGTACCGTGCGTCACCAGACGTGCCGGAAAAACCGTCAACAAGCTCAAGGTTGCTGAGCTCAAGACAGAGCTCCGCGCCCGTGGCCTCAAGGTTAGCGGCCGCAAGGCCGAGCTCATCGCTCGTCTTGCCGACGACGATGCCACCATGTGTCCTGTGCCGAGCTACGAGTCGTCTGATGAGGAACCTGACCCATTGTGAGCAGTTTATGTCGATGTTGACGTCGATGAGACCGTCGACTCCGACTCGACGAAAAGATCGAGGCGTTGGCCCGGATCGGCTGCGACGACGACGCTGCCAGCGACGGCGAGGACTTGTCGCTCACCTGCCGTGATAGCTTGCCGCCCTCGCTGTAGTGTGGCCGCGGGAGCGACGCGCCAGCCACCGACTGCGTCAGCCGCTTTTGCATCGCCAGCGAGACGCCCGGATGGTGGTCGTGCGCGCCTGCAAAGAGATCGAGCGCAACCGCGTCCTCGGGTGTGCTGCCCTTTTCAGGCGCAACCTTCATCGTGTGGTTGTGCCGGAAGAAAAGGCGTGGAAGACTACCACGAACACTGCGGCCGAGCACGCAATGATGATGGCAATGGTGACATACCCGAGCATGTTCGACTGCTGAGTGTAAAAGACCTGCCCAAAGACGAGGACCACAAGCGAGGCAAAGAGCAGCGCTGACTCGACCATGTTGCATGCCACCGAGTTGAACGGCACGTACCGCTGCTGGACGGCAAGCGCCACCAGGAGCGCGAGCTGCGCAATCATCGCCTGGACCGGCGGCGACTCGGAGAACGTCATCATCGCCACAGCAATAAAGAGCTTGCGCATGATGACAATGAGCTCGTACCACGCCAGCGACGGCCGGAACCGCGACGAGATGATGCCAAAGACCCGAAAGCCGGCAGACTTGGTGTCCTCCAGCGACGACCGGTACTTGAGAATGAGGAGAAGAAAGGTAGCCGGAATGCCCATGACGTACACCACCACGGCTGCAATGCCTGCAGGCAGCATGTCCATCCACCACGGTTGGTAGCACTCGAGCGACGGATCCGCATCGAGCAGGTATCGCCCATCGGCCTGCTGCGTGCAGTCAAAGAACTCGACGGCCTTGGCAGAGAGGAACATATACGCAAATGACGCCACCGTCACCATCGAAGTGCCCACCAGCCACCACGGGATTCCACGGTGCCGTCGCGAGACCACCGAGCACAGCAGCCGCGAGAAGAGCACAAGCGCAATGTACACAGTGCCCAGCAGGAGTGGAGCCGCCATCGTCACACCCCACTTGAACGCGTACGGGTACTCGACAGAGCAGTCGGTGGCAAGCAGGTCGACGTTAAAGTTGAGAACAGAGAAAAAGTCAAAGACCTTCAGGACTGCAGACGGCCACCGGAGCTTGAACGATGCCATCACCGCAATGATCTGCCAAAAGTTGAGTCCGATCGAGACAACCGCCATCCGCGACGCCCACGACTTGCGGTACTTCTTGATGCCAGACTTGACCATCGACCGCGAAAAGTACGCCAGGCCACCAAGGAGGCCACCAGCAGCGAGCACAACAACCAGCGAGAACGCCGACCACCGCATCCACGCGTCGTCAGGGCACTTGACGCATCGCGACGAGAGCCGGTAGTACCGCGGCGTGCCCTTGGAGCACTCGGCGCAGCTCGAGCCTTGGTACCCAGTCGCGCAGGTGTTGTTGCGCAGGCACGCCTCGCGCGGCACGCACGGCTGGAACAGCAGCGGGTTGTTCGGCGACGACGTGAAGCCAGCCTGCGGGAACGGACTTGATCGTCCGCCCAGGCACTCGCCGTTTGGCGGGCATGTCACGCATGGGCCGTTCGGAGGGCCATACAGTCCAAGTCCGCACACGCACTCGCCAGTCCCGGCCTCGGCGTACATAGCCTCGCCGCACACGGTTCGGAAGCTAAAGCTGTACACACTCGCCAACGAGTTGCCCGACAAGTCGGTCGCGTCCGTCACAATCTCCACCATGTACCGAGCCACGGCATCAAGCTCTGCGTCGGGCGTCAGCTGGAGCAGGCTCTCCGAGAGCCAGACTGGAGACACCTGATCGATCCGCACCCGGTCGGTGCCGTCAAGCGGAACTGCATACAGCCGGACCGCAGCCGTTGTCGTCTGCTGGTTCATGGCCTCCGAGAACGTGATCTCCACCACTGAGTCGACCTCAACCGAGCCCACGCCAGATTGCGGCGTGTGACCCACCACTTGCGGCGCTGCGAGGTCCTTGGTTCGGAACCGGAACGTGACCGGCGCGATAGCGTTGCCTGGCACGTCAAACACGCTCTGAACAACCACTTCGTGGACGACGTCGCCGACCAGGGCGCTCACCGGCGTCAGCGTTAGCACCTCGCCACTCGCCCCGCTCGTCCAAGTCTCGACTGCAGACACAGCGGTGTCGCCGACATCGTCGCCGTCCGAGTCGTAGCGCAGCACCACGCTGTTCGCTGACGCCGCGCGGTCGATAACCTCGTCAAACTCGATGACGACAGTTGATTCTAGAGCCACTCCGACCGCGTCGTCGACCGGTGTCATCGCCTCCACCTGCGGTGGAATGACGGCCGTCGTGAACGAGTACGTCAGCGTCCGCCCCAGCTGAAGCAGGTCCGGCAGGTCGGTGGTTACCACTGTCGTTACATTGGCGCCAAACACGAGGTTGTACGTCACTGTGTCCTCCAGTGGGCTTGCCGGCGTAAACCGCGCCACGTTGCCGTTCTCCGACCAGCTCCACACACCGGCAATGCGATTGGCAGGTACATCGCTCACATCGGCTCGCACCGCGTAGATTGCCTCGCTGGTCAGGTCGACGTTCATCGTCGCACCAAAAAGACCACCACGTCGGCGTCGAGCTCGACGCCGGTTGCCCCGTCGCTCGGTTCAAAGAACGCAAGGAGCTCAACAACCCGGAACGCCGCCGTCCCATCGACAAGCCCGGTCATCGATTCGGCCACCGACGCGTTGACCAGCACCGCGTACTGCCGGTTCTTGATCATCGGGCTCACCGGAAGCGCGACGAGCTCGGTCGCACTTTGCCACGAGAGGGAGACTGGCACAATGCCGTCGGCTGTCGTATCGGTCAGCGAGAATGCGGCTTCCATCGACGACTGGTAGAGCGGGAGGATCGGGTTGTCAAATTGGATACGGATGCTGGACAGCTTGGTCGCCACAGCGCTCGGCGCAATGCTGACCACACTTGTCTGAACCTCGTTGTCAATGGCGGAAAAAGTGTACGGAAAGCTGGCTCCCACAGCCGATGGGCCGAGGCCCTGGTAGAACTCGTCGGCCGAGACCGCGCTCGCCATCGAGACAGTGACACTCGTCGTAAGATCAAACACGGTCTCTTCCACCACGCTCACTGTAAAGTTGGCCGGCCGCCGCCACTCCGACGCCAAGAGCGTCGCGGCCGACGGGCTGATGACGGCTTGCGAGCCGGGCGCGTCGAGAGCAAATGCCACGTCCACGTCGGCACTTGGCTCGGTCGCCAGCGAGGCCGAAAACTCAAATGAAGCACCTTCCGCTACACTTGCAGGCCATGACACGCACTCGACAACGACACTGGCGATGTCGTCGTTGATAAAGTCGAATGGCATCTGCGACGGCGTCGGCTGCACGTTGTGGTAAACCGAAGAGTCCGAGACGGTGTTTTCGATACTGACAACGATGCCAACGTTGTCCTCGGCGCGCTCATTGTCGATCGGCGAGAGCACAACGTTCTGCTTCACGTTCCAGTCTGCGTTGGTGAACGAGACCACCGACGGTGAGATTGAAGCGTGGATGGTGTCGTTGACGCTCACAGAGACGTTGACAAGGACATCGGGAACCGGCGCCACACCGAGCTCGACGGTCAGCACCACCACTGGACCGTCCTCCAGCAGCTGGTTCGTTGGGATGCCGGCGACGCCGACGAGCACGGCTGGCACGTCGACGTTCTGGACTGTAACTTCGTCAGTCACGGCAGGCAGGCCTTGGTACGGCTCAAGCACGTCCGACGATGACACCGGGCCGAACGAGATAGTGACCGCTTGAGTGCCGTCAACAACAAAGTCGTCGACACCAAAGACAGTCACTGGCTGCGGCGTGTTCCAATCGCTTGCAGTAAAGACTAGCCATGGCGGCAGGATTTCGGCTTCGCCGACATCGCTCGACGAGAGTGAGACGTTGACCGTGCCGAGCGGCCGAGAGCCCAACTGGACCGTGGTAGAGGTCGATGTGCTTTCGGTGATGATGTCCGACGGTGAAAACGTGGAAAAGAGGACTGCGGCCGTGTCGACGTCAGCGATGGTGACCGTGATGTCGGCGAGGACAAAGTTGTCGTACTTGACGTCGATGTCCGACGTCACATTGTGCCGAATGCTGCATGACTGCGGCCCGTCGTCGACATTGTCGATCTGCGGGGAGATGACAACCTGCTGTGGCACGATGTAGTTGGCCGGTGTAAAGAGGAGCGACGGGGTCACCGAGCACTCGGAGGTGTCGTCCGAGGCCAAGGACACGGTGACATCCCCAAGTGGCCTAGTCGCCAGAACAATCGTGTACGTGATATCAGCGCCGTTCTCAGGTGTCGACGACGCCGACACAGCCGAGATGACAATGTTCGCCACATCGTTGTTGCCGAGCGTGTACTTGCCAGCGATGGCCTTGTCCTGCATGGGGCCGTACTCTGCCGCGCCCGTGGGCTCGAGCTTCAGATCAAAGTCGTATGGGTCGGCATCGATGTTGTCCTCGACCGCGTACAGTGTGACCACCTGCGGATTCATGTAGTTGGCAGTGGTAAAGGTGAGCGTGTGCAACGGCGGACCTGGCGGTGAGGTGAAAGCAAGTTGCTGCGGCGAGATCGCCGGGCCTGCCACAACCACTTTGACGTCGACCGAGCCACTCGACGGCTCCGAGCCGAGCCAGACCGAGAACGACGACGAGCTTCCCTCGGGAATGGTCAACTTGGTGGCCGGCAGGCCCGAGATGAGCACCTCGGCGACGTCGTCGTCAACAACGTTGATCGGAACGGAAGCGTCGCTCCGACCAGGACCAGTAAGCCCTGGCGCCCGCACAAAGAAGCAGTGACTGGGAGGTGCAGGACCGGGCGGAGGGGCTCCGACCCAGAGTGGATCCGCAAACTTGATGAACTCGTTCCGCGAGCCAGAATCGATGTTGTCGAGGTTGTCATGGAGAACGAAAACTCGAGCGCCCGAGCCCGGCGGCGTATCCGGGAAAACTGAGAAGCCAGCGAGATCGAGGCTGCCCAGCCATGGGCCAGTACTCGAGGTGCCGACTTTGGAGTTGGGTCCTGCAGTGACTGTGATCTTGACTTCATGGCCGTCGCTGCATTCACCATCAGAAAACCAGGTCTCCAGCTCTGTGACGGAGCCCTCCAAGTGTGGGCTTGGGGACAGAATGTCAACCACAAAGTTGCGCGCTGGGGGCTGGCCGACCACTCCAACAGCCAGAACCAGCACCACCACGAGGGCGACAGACAACGTGGGGGTCGCGTCCATGACGCCGGGGCTGAGAGGGACAGAGAAGAGGGACTTTGCGTGCGTGTATCTGTGTGGAGATAGAGAGCGCGCGCGCGGTGTTTCGGAAGAGAGAGTGTGGTGTGTGCGTGCGTGCGTGTGTGTGTTGCGGGGGAGGGGACAGCGGCAAAAGGAGGGAGGAGGGAACGTGATATGAAGTCTTCTGCGCATCAGGACACTTTTTTTCGCTCTGTACGCGTGGGGATCGGGCGGGTGGCAACGGTATTCCTTTTCTTTTTTTTTGGGTCGCAAGTTGGCGGTGACCGAGTCGGGTTGGTATTGGCGGTGGCGGTGGGGGAGCAAACGAATTGAGCTCGCGCGAATAGTGGGCTGGCGATTGGTGTTTCTCACTTTTCGTCCGAACAACGTCGAACTCGTCTCGCATCACACAATGGGTACGTGAAGAGCCAATAGTAGGGGCAAGGGGGAGAAAGACTCCGAGTAGGAGGCTCTACAGCCACAGTGGGCATGTTCACACATCATCGCACATGCTTGGTGGTGTTTATGTGCTCGCGGTGACTTGGTGCTCTGTATAGGCGACTGTGCATGGCTGTCGGCGGCGGCTGTGGGCGTCCGATGCCATTTTTCATTTTTGTGTTTGACGGCGCTCGCCGCCTTCCGACCGAGGGTATGCGGCCGGTGCGGGGCAGGACCGACCAGGCATGCCCCGTACGACGTGTATAATGCTCATACCAAGGTGTGTGTCGAGTTGTGCGGGCTGCGGAGACCACGCGTCGTCGTAGCAGCCGCCGCGGTCCAGGCGAGCCGCCATCCCAGCCGGTGTGTGAGGCGGTGGCGGTGGTGACGGGCAAGGCGGCAGCAGGGAGGCAGAGAGGCGGAGACTCACCAAGAATGTGTGCGACGATACAGTCAAGGTCAAGGCTCATCTGCTCCGCAACGAGAACAAGGAGGAACTCGAGAAGCAGCTCGCGCAGTACCGCAATGAGCTCGCTCAGCTCCGCGTGGCCAAGGTCACCTCGGGCTCTGCCGTCAAGCTGACGCAGATCCGCATTGTGCGCAAGGCCATCGCCCGCGTCCTTACGGTCATCTCGCAGAAGAAGAAGGCTTCGCTCCGCAAGTTCTACGCCGAGTCCAAGTACAAGCCGCTCGACCTCCGCCCGAAGAAGACCCGCGCCATCCGCCAGGCCCTCACCTACAAGCAGAAGAACCTCAAGACCAACCGTGTCGCCAAGCGCGCCATGCAGTACCCGGACCGCGTCTTTGCTGTCCGTGCCTAAGTACAGGTTTAAAGACAAAAGCAACAAGCAGTCTTCCCCCCCCTCCCCCCCTCTCTCCCCCACTTTCAGGCCATGCCCGTCCTCTGTGCCCGCGCTGTCGGCGATACACGCGACCCAGCCACACTCCCCTCTCTCACTTGGCAAGCATGAAGGCGTTCCGCAAGGCCAAGCGCACAGTGACCCGGTCCATCCACCAGGACCTCCACCACAAGGTACCCCCCCCCCCCTCTCTTCTCTTCCCCTGCACCCTACTCCCTGCCTTGCCCTTGCCTGTTCAGGTGCGCTGCTAGGCAGTCGCTCTTCCCCTCCCCTTCCCCCCCTTTGATCGACACGCGTGCCACCGCCACCACTACCCCTTGCCTCCCCTCCCCCTCCCTCTCCTTCCTCCCCCCTCCCCTCCCCACCTCCCCCTACCTCCCCTCCTCCTGCTTCCTCCTCCCTTCCGCACCTGCGCACAACCTCCTCACATCACAGCACGGCGGCCTCCTCCCATGCACAGATCGAAGAAGAGCGGGATGTGGCAAAGGTGCTGGTCAAATCGGCAGAGACGTTGCGGGCGGCAACAGAGCATTCGCGGGCGTGGGGCGACACGACCGAGTCGTCGACGCTCCTAGCTTACGCGCAGATGGAGTCGCAGGCCGACGCACAGTGGGCTGATGCCTTGGCAGAGTACGGCGAGGCGCGCGGGCAGTATGCTGCTGTGTGGGCAGAGGTGCTGGAGAAGGAGCGTGCACGCGACTCGGCTAAGAAGGCACTGGCCAAAGCCGAGGCTAACCTGGAGTCCGCGCAGTCCAAGCTGGCCAAGGCGCAGGGCAAGGCAAACTTTGAGGCCAAGCGTAGCCAGCTTGAGGAGGGCGTCTCGCTCGCCGAGGCCGACCTTCGATCGGCGCGCGAGCTTGCCGAGCAGCTGACCGACGAGTGCGAGTCATTCACCTCGCGCGAGCTGATCAAGGCCACTCGTGCCAACGCCGCGGCCACGCTCGCCCTATGCAAGCTTGGCACTCGGGTGTACTCGGACCTCCACGCCCGGTGCGAGGAGCTGGATGGGACCGGCGGTGGGCGCAAGTACGCCCGCACCGCCGTGGCCTCGGCCGCCGATGCTGCCATCGACATGTTTGACGAGGACAACACGGCCGCGCTCCACGCCACCACTGCATCAGGTGCCGGTCTGAACCCGTTCGACACCGAGGAGGCCAGCACGGTGCCTGTGGCCAGCGCTCCACCCGCAGAGCCTGCGCCTGCCGCCGACGACAACCCGTTCGCTGACGATCCGTTTGCCGATGAGCCCGTGCATGCCGCCGCTGCGCCTGCCGCCGCCGCTGCTGCCGCGCCCGCCACTGCTGCCGCGCCCGCCGCTGCTGCTGACGGCAACCCGTTTGGCGACGACATTCCCGACGACGAGCCCGCAGCAGCAGCAGCAGCCGCCGCAGAGTCCAAGCCTCCCACTGATGATACGGCCAGTGACGAGACTACAGTTGTTGCCCGTGCGCGTGCCATCGCCGACTTTGCTGGCGACAACGAGGGCGAACTGCCGTTTGCCCAAGGCGACATGCTCGAGATCACGGACCTGATGGACGGGGTGTGGTACTATGGGCGTAACGGCGAGGTCTACGGTGAGATTCCGTCCAACTTTGTTGAGATGATTTAGCCAGAGCCCGCCCGGATCCCGGCCGGCTGCAGCCAGGGTGCGGCCAGAACGCCATGCCCGAGCGCTCGCCTCCTCTCGATCGCATCCTCAGCCTCGGGCGCCACCATAGCCATGGAAGAATGATCCCTTCCTCTCCGCCGCCCTCCAGCCACCGATGTGCATCGACATACACCGTATCGCAACCCCCCGCCATCCACCCCCCCCCTCCCCCCCCCCCTCGTGACCGTCACCAATTCCACCGCCTGCCACGTCGGTAGTGGTCCACCCCCCCACCCCCCACCCCCCCCCACTCCACCCCCCACTCCACGCCCCACCCACCCCCACTTCCCCACACTACCGAAAACATTATGCTCTCTGCAGCTCGCTTGGCTAGTAGCTCTACTCGCGGAGGATGGTGGCGCTGTGCGTCGGCCTTTGCCGGCGTCCCCATGGGCCCTGCTGACCCCATTTTGGGTGTGACGGCGGCATGGGCGGCCGACAGCCGGGAGACCAAGATGAACCTGGGCGTGGGCGCCTACCGCGACGACGATGGGCGGCCACATGTGCTCAAGTGCGTGCGCAAGGCTGAGACCATGATCACTAATGCTGGTCTCGACCATGAGTACGCAGGCATTGGTGGTGTCGCCGCCTTTCCGCCGCTCGCCGCCAAGCTCGCCCTCGGCGACAACTGCCCAGCCCTGGCTGATGGCCGCGTCGCCGCTCTGCAGTCGATCTCGGGCACGGGCGCCAATCGGGTGGCCATGGCCTTTGCCGCTCAGTGGCTGGGCAAGGGCGGCGCCGGGGCGTCGGCCATCGCCATGCCCGATCCCACCTGGGGCAACCACATCCCCATTGCCAAGCACGCTGGCCTCGACGTCGTCCGCTACCGCTACTACTCGCCCGAGAACAACGGGCTGGACTTTGCCGGTATGATGGACGACCTGAGCAAGCTTGAGGCCGGAACGCCTGTCCTCCTCCACGCCTGCGCCCACAACCCGACAGGCGTCGACCCGTCGCTTGAGCAGTGGCGCGAGATCTCGGCCTGCCTCGCCGACAAGGGCCTCTTCCCGCTTGTGGACATGGCGTACCAGGGCTTTGCCTCGGGCGACGTCGACGCCGATGCCGCTGCCGTCCGCACCCTCGTTGCCGATGGCCACGACCTCATCCTCTGCACTTCGTTTGCCAAGAACATGGGCCTCTACGGCGAGCGGACCGGCGCCCTCATCTTTGTCACCTCGACGCCTGAGCAGGCCACCGCCGTCGAGTCGCAGGCTAAGATCCTCATCCGGCCCATGTACTCGAACCCGCCCATCTACGGTGCCCGCATTGTCGAGACCGACCTCTCCTCTCCCGAGCTGCACGCCCTCTGGCTCACAGAGGTCGCCGACATGGCCGACCGCATCATCGATGTCCGCACTACCCTCCGCAATGGCCTCGCCGCCGCCGGCTCGCCGCACAACTGGTCGCACATCACCGACCAGATCGGCATGTTCTGCTACTCGGGCCTCACCGCCGACCATGTCGCCGCGCTCGCCGCCGACCACGCAGTCTACCTCACCGCCGACGGCCGCATCTCCATGGCTGGTGTCAACTCGTCCAACGTCGACCACCTCATCGCCGCCATCCACGACGTCACCAAGGATTCGGCCCTCAACTAAGCAGTGTGTACGCAGCGCGTGCAGTAGCTGTTACTGCCTGTTCCGCCGCCGTCCTTCCACCGACCCTCTGCCGTCGGATGATCGGAGGAAGAAGAAGTAGAAGAAGGAGAAGAAGAAGTAGAAGTAGAAGGAGTGGAAGAAATCAATCCCCCCCCCCCCCCCCCCTTCTTGCCCTTAACTATCTGCTGCCATCGGTGCAAACCACCAGCCGCCAGCCGCCGCGCCTGCCTGTCGGCCCAACCACCCAAATCGCCATTGCCATTGGCGCCAAAGGCCCCCCTCCCCCCCCCCCCCCCCCCCGCTCCACTCTCCCAACCCCTCCCACCCCTCCCACCCCTGGGCGTATGTCACGCGCAGCCGAGTACAAGCGGCAGGCGGACGCCATACTGGCACGGGCCCTGCTGCGACAGAACCAGAGCTTGCGGTCGTCGCTGGCGGCGGGACGGCCTCGGAGGGAGAGCGGGGCCACGGCAGGAGCAGCGGATGGCGGCACAGGAGCGGCTGCGGGAGGAGTCTCGCCCGCATCCGACGTGCCCACCTCTTCTCCATACGTTTTGAATACGGCTCCTTCGCCATCGCCAGCCGCTGCGCTGTATCCGTCGCTGAGCCATCCGCTGGCAAGGCTGTCGCCCGGGCCTGATGAGAACACGCCGCCGGTGCTGAGCCCGCGGTCGGCGGCGGCGGTGGCGGCGGCGACGGCAAACGCTGACTCTCTCGCTGGGTTGCGACTCAAGCTCCACACGCTGTGTGCTCAGCTCAAAGTGGCGTCGGCCACGGGTGCGCTCCGGGCGCCGCCATCACCGATCGGCCAGGAGCTGCATCGCTCGGCATCGGGCCGCTCGCTGCACAACGATCTACACGCTCTCGTCGACACCGCCCTCGCCCACCTCGACGGTGTTCTTGCGCTCCGCATGATGCGCTCTCCCACGCCGCCTCCGCCGCCTCCGCCACCAGTCGTCTTTGATGCAAGCGCACAGACCGACCACTGCCGAGTCGCTCACGCCGCCGCGCAGACCAGCGCTGCCGTTGCGCCCGAGGATGAGCTCGCTCTCTCGCAGGCTGCGCTCGAAACGCTACAGGCATCGGCTTCCGAGAACGAACGATACGTGACCCGGCTTTCTGAAGTTGTGGCCGAGCTCGAGGCTCAGCTCGAGTCGCTGGAGACGTCCGAGGCTCAGCTGCGCGGTCAGGTCGCCAGTGCCGAGGCCCGCGCTGAGCGGGCTGAGCACAACTGCGCCGCGCTTCAGACCCAGGTGGCGTCATCGTCGCGATCCGACTCGATGGCTCAGGAGCAGATGGCTGGCCTGCGGCGGACGTACGAACAGCGAGTGGGCGTGCTCGAGAAGACGTGCAACGAGCAGTCGGCGCGGATCCTTGAGCTCGAGTCGCACCTCACCACCGCGCTCAACAACATCGACCAACTGTCGGTCGAGCTGTGCGAGCACAAGGAAGTCCTCGTCAAGTTCCGCACTGACCGCAACGCCCTCCGAGCTGCCCTCCGAGATGCGCGCATCCAGCTCCGCGACTACGAAGAGGCGCCTGCCCACGACCCGGAGCGAATGGCCAAGCTCGAGGCGCGGATCATCTCGCTCCGCGACAAGCACCGGCTGACCAAGGACAAGCTCCGCTCGCTCATCGACGAGAACAAGGCGCTGTGCAAGGACAATCCCGAGCGGGCAGAGGTCTTCCGCGCCATGCGCGACCTCATCCTCGTCTACCAGTCGACGCTCGGCTCGGCCTCGTTTGCTTGCCACGCCTGCTCGCGGGTCCGCGGCATGATTGCATGGGACAACTTCCCCAAGGCTGCCCAGGACTTTGAGGCTGCTGTTGTCGCCGAGCAGTGTGACTTTTGCCAGTCTCCACTCTTTGTTCCCGACTCGGCCTCCTAGACGCCGTTCCTTTCATTTGGTCAGAGACCGTGAGCGCCGTCAAGCGCAGCTTCGAGCGCGTCGAGGTCGGCAATCCACAGGTCCTCTGGCGAAGCAGCCTTGATCTCGGCCAACTCGTTCTCCAGCCGCTCGAGCCTGGCCTGGAGCGCGGAGCGCCGCTTCGCCGTCAGTGACGAGAGCGGAAGAGAGAGCAGCGTGGCGAGCGCCTCGGCGTCGACGGTGCTGCCGGCGCGTGCCGAGAGGCCGGCGACGACTGCAGCCTCGTCGAGCTCGGGTGCAGCGAGGTCGATGTCACCGGCCGAGACACCGTCGACAAAAGCGAGCTGGACCTTTGTCTTGGTCACATCGCTCGTCAGCGAGTCGATGAGGTGCTGTCGGCGGGCGTAGTAGCCCTCGAGCCGGGCGTGGTAAAAGGCATCGATGATGCCGTGCGGCGAGGCGAAGCGGGTCATCTTGCCCGCGCTGTCAAAGGCATGCATGTTGGTGAGCGAGAGCGAGCCGACGAGCTTGAGCTTGGCGAGCAGCTCGCTGTCCGAGAGCTCAGCGGCAGCGGGGGTGAGCGTGACCTCGAACGCCACATCGACGTCGGTGTGGCCCTCGGTGTAGCCCGCCACGAGCGAGGCCGCCGACTCGACGCCCTCGGCTTCGGTCAGCGCCACCTGCTTCTCCAACCACTCCTTGTAGTTCTGGGTCCACGATCCGAGCGGAAGCTCCGAAATTATGGCCGTCTGCGGATCGGGCCGGTCGACCAAACCGTGGACCTTGTAGCCGGTCACCGACTTGCCGCGGGTGACCGGGACGAGGCTGCCCTTGAAGCCGCGTGTCCAAGGGACAAGTGGCGGGAGCGGCTTGCCGGCAATCCGGGCGCGGACGGCAGCGATGAGGTCGCGCGGCGAGAACGACGGAATCGAGGTCGACCACCCGGTTCCGATGCCCTCTGCGCCGTTGACCAGTAGCGAAGGGATGACCGGCAGGTAGTGAACTGGCTCGACGGGGACGCCTGAATCGTCGACGACGTGGTCGAGGACCGGATCGTCGGCGAGCGGGAGCAGCGGCTGGGCGAGCGGTGAGAGGCGGGTGAAGATGTACCGCGGCGAGGCCGCGTCCTTTCCGCCTTGCAAGCGGGTACCAAACTGACCCAGCGGGAGTAGCAAGTTGATGTTGTTCGCACCAACGTAGTCCTGGGCAAGACCGATGATGGTCGAGGCAAGCGAGGCCTCGCCGTGGTGGTAGCCGGTCGACTCGGCGACGTACGCCGCCAGCTGCGCGACCTTGAGCTCGGCGCGCCAGAGCTTGCGCTTGCGCGAGGCGTGGAGAACCTTGCGCTGGCCTGGCTTGAGGCCGTCGACCGCCGACGGAATCGACCGCACGTTGTCGGCCATGGAGAAGAGAATGAGCTCGCGGTTGATAAAGTCGTGGACCGAGAGCCCGTCTGCGGTGTAGAGCGGGGCAGCGTTGTGAGCGGCGTGGGCCGACGTCGACTCGAGCCAGGCCTTGCGGTCCTCGGCGCGCGACTTGCGGAAGGCCATGTCGAGCAGCGCGCCAGGGTCCTCGGCAGCGGCGGCGGGTGGATCCCAGGTGAACGGCACCAGGTGGGCGTCCAGCTGGGCAAAGTACGACTTGGCCTCGGCCGCCGACGACGTTCCGAGGCCCTTGTAGTACTTGATGGCCCAGTCTTTGGCAAGCTCTGCGTTGGGCATGCTTGCCTTGAACGCCTCAAACTCGGGCATGGTGAAGAAGACTCGCTCGCGTAGTTTCGGCGCGGAGCCGGCCAGCCCGGTGTAGCGGGCCTTGACGATGGGCGTGATGAATTGGACGAGAAAGCCGGGCGAGGAGGCGAGGGCTGGGAAGAAAAAGTGCATAAAGTTGAGGAAGAGGCCCTTGATGTGCGAGCCGTCGACGTCTTGGTCGGTCATGAGCATGACTCGGCCGTAGCGGAGCGAGGCGCGGGCGGCAGGCGTCGAGTAGTCTGCGTCGAGCTTGAGCCCGAGGATGCGGATGATGTTGGCGAGTTCGGCGTTGCCGGCCAGCGCGGTCTGCGACGCATCGCGGACGTTGAGCAGCTTGCCCTTGAGCGGAAAGACGCCGTATGACTCGCGGCCGACGACCGAAAGGCCTGCTACCGCAAGCGCCTTGGCCGAGTCGCCTTCGGTGAGGATGAGGGTGCATGCCTCCGATTTTGGCGAGCCAGCGAGGTTAGCGTCCTCCAGCTTTGGGATGCCGGTCAGGCGGCGCTTTTTGGTGGCAGACATCTTGCGCGAGAGTGACGAGGCCGACTTGGCCTGGGCCCGCTCGAGAATCCCGGCCTTGAGCTCGGGCGCGGCATTGAGGGCCTTGCGCAGCGCGGTCGGGGTGAGCGAGAACGACGAGCCAAAGTCGCGGATCTTGGTGGTGAGAAAGTCCTTGGTCTGCGAGTCGAACGTCGGGTTGGCGATCGAGGCCCTGACAAAGACGAGCAGTGAGGCCTTGATGTGGGCTGGTGTGATGCTGACCTCGGGGTGAGACTTGGTCAGAACAGCAGCCATGCCTTTGGTCACTTGATCGGTGACGTAGTCGACGTGGCGCCCGCCGCGCGGCGTCGAGATGCCGTTGACAAACGATGCGTGGGTAAATCCGGCACCCTCGGGCGCGAGCGCGAGACCGATGGTCCAGCGCGGGTGCGGCGCGAGGGTGGCCACAGCCTCGGCGCTCTGGGCCGTCGCGCCTGACTCGGCCTGGAACAGCGAGATGTACGACTTAAAGTCGGAGACCGGAATCCGGTCGCCGTTGTAAAAGACGCGGACGTGCGGGCCGAGTACGGCGGCGAGGTCAAAGGCGCGCTTGCGGACGTAGGCCATGACGTCGTCGCCTTCGAGCGAGGCCATCGAGAACTTGGGCAGGTCGGGGTGAACGAGACGTAGGTGAACGATGGAGCGGCGAGCGCGGCGGCCGGCAGCCGGCTCAGAGCCGGATGGACGTCCAGGAGGCTCGAGTTGGCCAACAGGGTGCGGGCTGACGCCGCCGTCTCGAGCGCGCCGTCGTCGAGCTGGACAATGACGGGCTCGCTGACCTGTGTCATGTTCTCGGACCAGGCTTGCGAGTAGATGGCGCCGGCGTCGCGGGTGGTGACGCGGAAGGAGGAGGCAAAGATGTTGGCGAGTTTGGCGCCGTACCCGTTGCGGCCGCCGGTTGTCTTGGCCACCGAGTCGTCAAAGTTGGAGCCCGAGAGCAGCGAGCCAAAGACCATCTGCGGAATGGGGATGTTCTCCTTGGCATGTGTGGCGATGGGGATGCCTGCGCCGTCGTTGTAGACGGCAAACTCGCCGGCTCCGGCGTCGTCGGCCCAGATCCGCAGCTGGCGCATCGACGGATCCCGAGCAGCGTTGTCTGCAGCATTGACCAGCAGCTCGTCGACTATCTGTCCCAGACCGGGCACATACTCGAGGTTCTCCCTCGCGAGGCGCAGCGGATTGTCGGCCACCACCCACGCCGGCCCGGCCTGCCGCTCCACCGATCCGATGTAGGTGTCCGGGCGGAGGAGGACGTGCTCGCGCGGCGTCTTACGGGTGTAGACCTCTTCCAGCTTGCGCCCGCCCTTTTCCGCCGCCGCCTTCTTGCCCTTCCCTGCTTTCTTCTTGCCCTTGCCCTTGCCCTTGCCCGTCGCCGCCTTGCTGCCCCCTGCCGCCGCGCCTTGTGACGCGCCAAAGGTCCGGGTGGCGCCCAGGGCACTCAGCGCCGCTGGCCACAGCCGCACGGCTGGTGAGGGCATGCGGCGCCACATGGGAGGAGTGAGGATGGAGGGTGGTATAGAGGGGTGTGGGTGGTGGTGCTGGTGGCACTGGTGGTGGGGAAGCGGTGAGGCGTGGCTCGGGAAGAGGTGAGCAGAGCAGGATGGATGGGGTTGGGGCGACTGAGGGGGGAGGGCGATCGGGATCGTGATCGGGTGAAGGAAGGGGTTTAGTTGGCCATAGAAGTGAGTGAGGAGAGCGTGGTCGGCCATGGGTTATGGATGCCAACACCGTCATGGCACGGATTGGTGTGCTGGTGATGGGGCCGGGCGGGTGTGGCGGGGCGGGCTAAGACGCTGGGACAGCCGCGGCGGCAGGTGTTGGCGAGGTGACAATCATGTCGTGCATGGCCGAGAGCTGGTCGCCAACAGAGCCCATGCAGACGGGGCATCGCGAGTTGCAGAAGAGCCAGGTATCGACGCAGAGGACGTGGAAGACGTGGAGGCACGGCAGGCGGCGGGCGCGATCACCAGCTGCAAGGTCCTCAAAGCAGATGGTACAGACCGGCGCCGGCACGTCGGGACCGGCCGGAACAACAGTGGCCGGGCCGGCGCCCAGCGCCGAGGCAGGCGTCTCGGACGAGATGGTGAAGACCGGAATGCGTCGGAGAAGCCGAACGTCGAGGCCCTTCTCGTCGGACATACCGTGCATGAGGTTGTCGGTCCAGCGAGCGACAGCATCCGACGATGCGTATAACAGCCGCTTGAGCGTCGCCATCCACGCCTCGCTCGCCTGAAGCCGCTCAACGAGCGGAAAGGTGCGCGTCACAACCAAGCAGAGGAAGCGGAGGACAGCGAGCGTGAGCCGAACGCTCTCGGCGCATGGCGCAGCGCGGTCGGACGAGCCCGAGCTCCCGTCCATCTCGCTAGCCGACGCGCCGAGGACGGAGAGGCAGGCGGCAAGCGACTTGGCAGCTGCCGGCGCGACGAGCGCGGCCTTGACGGCTTCGGGCTCGGCGAGCGTGGCCTTGCGCAGAGTCTCGAGGAGGAGGATGGCGGTCGAGCGGGTCTGCGATGGCGAGGACAGGACAGGATCAAGCAGGCCGACAAGGCAGGGGAAGATGCCCGCGCTGCTGAGCGCAGCAAGAATGGTCGACTCGGGCGGTGAGTCGACAGCGGCCGCCGGTGCGTAAACAAGCGACTGGACCAGGATGAGCGCAACGCGGAGGCCAGAACCGGCGGCAACGCCGAGGCCAAGGACGGTGCCGAGCGAAGTTGCCACCGAATTGCGGACAGCCTCGAGCCGCGACGGCGGCGACATCGAGATGCAGTTGGAGAGTGCCTTGAGGACGGCGAGGTGGGCCGGCGCGAGCGGAGCGGACTTGCCATGGAGCGCGGCGGCCAAGTCGCGGAGGTAGTCGGCGAGCAGCACGACACCGCCCTGCTTGCGCACAATCTTCTTGTTCTTCATGTTGTTGGCAGTCACGTTCTGGAGCGCCTTGAGAGTGGTGCCGAGGACGCTGCCTCCATCGGTGTCGGGCTTGAGTGCGTGAGCAAGGAGGCGGACAAGAATGGCAACGCCGCCGTCGGCGCGGACTGTGTCCTTGGACTCGGGGAGGGTGGCACAGTTACCAAGGAGCTTGACCAGCGCCGCCAGCTCGGCAGCAAGGTGCTTGCGAGTTGCGGCAGTCGGCCGCTTGGCCGGCGGCCCCACCAGGGCAGTAAAGGTTGTCTCGATGCGGGTGACCAGCAGGCCAATGCCCGAAAGTAGACGGATGCGGTCCTTGACCATGGTCGAGCCTGCGGCGGCGGCCTCGAGGCCACGGACAACCGCGAGGCGGACGCCAAGCTTCGAGTGGCCGAGCAAGGTGAGAAGCTTGGAGAAGAGCCCCGCGTCAATGGCAGCAGACTTGGCGTCACGCAAGGTGAGCACGTTGCCGAGCGTCTTCAGCACGAGGCGCAGCATCGGCGGGGTGCCGGCCGGGTGGCCCGGCTCGAGCAGGGTAGCGGCGGCGGCGACAGCGCCAGCGGCCACTACCTGCTTCTTGACCGGCACGCAGTCTGCCGTGCAGTTGGCAAGCGCGCGGGTGGCCGACTCGACCACAAGCGTCTTGGGCGAGGCAAGGAGCGGGACGAGCGCCGCGGGCGCACCCGACATCGCAATGGCCGACTTGTTGGCGGCCAGAGACGCGCAGTTGCCCACAATCTTGGCGCCGACATCTTGCATCTTCCATGCTGCCGACACAAGCATCGGCTTGGCGAGGTCAAACACGGCGAGCTTGCCAAGCGCGGCCTTGTTAGCCTCTGAGTTGGCGGTGCAGTTCTCGAGGGCGGTGGCGGCGGCGAGTGCAAGCTGCGGGGTGGTGGCCTTGGCGGTGAGCATGAGCAAGACAAGAAGGCCGCCGACATCGCGGACGGCGTCCTTGGCCGGCGCATTGTGGGCGACGAGATTGTGTAGCGCCCGGGCGGCCGCGGTTTGCAGAGCGGTGCTGGGTGCGTGGAGCAGTTGAACAAGGAGCATGACCGCGCCGGCCTCGTGGAGGTACGGCTTGTTGCCCATGGCGGTTGCTGCGTTGCCGAGCGTGTCTGCCATCGCCACGGCGAGGCCTGGCGGGAGCCTGGCTACAGGATCCGGGCCCGAAAGGGCGCGCAGGGCGACGAGGAGCAGACCCGACTCGCGCGCCGCGTCTTTGGCGCGCTCGTGATTCGAGAGGGCAAGCTGGGCGAGGCGACCCGAGTCAACGAGAACCGAACCAAGAACATCGCCGGTCATGACTTCGGGCTTCGGCAGCGCCCACTGCCAGAGATCGGCGAGGGCCGGAAAGAGCGGCGAAGCAGCAAGCGCATCTTTGGCGGCCGGCGAGGCGACGAGGGCCTTGGAAAGAGTGCGGAAAAGTCCACGGAGGAGTGCAAAGGCCGCGCGCTCAGGAGAGCCATTGTCCACAGCAGTTGAGACCGTGGCGGCAGCGGCGGCGGCCAGCGAGGCGACGAGCCAGTCGGGCGCCAGATCCCAGCGGACGAGAGCGTCGACGAGGGTGACAACGAGGGCACGGGCGCGGATGGGCAGGCGCGGGTCGGCAAGGAGGGCGCGAGCACGAGGAACGAATGCATCCAGCGCAGGCTGATGGTCCGGGGCGGCGGCGGCGTTGCGCACGACGAGCAGCGCGAGTGTGAGGAGGGCAGGCGGGAGCGATGGCAGGCAGCACTTGACAAGCATGCCGAGCGGGCGGTGCGGCGGATCTTCACAGGCCGTGACATCTGCTGCCAGCGCCGCCAGCGCCGCCGCCAGCCTTGCCTGGGCCTCGTTGACAGCCGCGCGGGCATCGCCCCGCGACGCTCCGGCGCCGTGGCCGCCCGGAGAGCCCGGCGGCGAGGCTGGCCCGCGGACGAGGCCCGCCAGCGTCCGTTGGGCACGGAGGTAGGTGCGCAGCGCGGAAGCGGTGGCCGCCCACGGCTCTGCGGTGGACGACATATGGGTGGGGGTGGTGGGGTGAGGGCGGCGTGGAGCGTGGGGTGGGGTGGCTTGGGCGCAGCGGGCGTGTCCTGCCTCAACGCGCGAAGATGGTGTCATTGGCCGGTCGGCGGCAGCGCCTGCGAGCGGGACATTGGCAGTCGGGGGGGCTGGTCAATCAGAGCAGTGTCATCACGCAGAATTAGATCCAGCGCGCAAGGACACGATCGTACTCGATCAGTTTGAGTGTGAAAGCTCATAAGGAAGGCAAGTGGCGTTGCGCTCTCCCTCTCTCGCCCTCGCTCCAACGACGTTCAATCTGGTTTGCGCTGGCAAGACGGACAGTGTCACGCTTGCTGTCATGCATTGACTTTGTAAAGACGAGAGAGGAGGTCGGCAAACGAGTCGGCGATGCGGAAGCGCTTCCACTCGGGATCACTCTCCTGCGAAATGTAGGCGACGGTCGGCTCGCCGGCAGTGTTGGGCCGGGTGTAGTCGAGAATGATCCACTCGTGGCCATCGCCGTCGATCATGAGGATCTTCCCCTGCATGTCGTCGGGCAGCTCCCATTCTTCGGCGTCTTCGTCTGTCCCGCCGAGCTGCGAGAGTGATGCCAGTGTATTGACTGGAGCGTGGTCGTTGGCCCACGGATTCGGATCGGCCGGAACGGCGTTGAGCGCGAGTATCATTCCATCAGTGATCTGGAGAATCGAGGCGTAGAGCGCCGGAAGCTTGCGCTTGTATTGTGCCTCAAACGCGTCGATGTCGGCGCGGGTCACCCCAGGTGTCGCAGCCGTCAGATCGGCGGGCTTCTTCGAGGAGATGCGCTCGAGCAGGGCATCGATGCTCTCGGCATCGGGCTCACCCTCCTTGCCCCCCGCAGCGGCAGCGGCAGCCTCGCCACCACTTGCCGATACAATGACATATCCCTTGCTCGGCTGCACCTTGGACTCGAGCTGGGCGATGGCATGGTCGAGGGCGGCAGCGGTGGAGCCCTTGTCGGCGATGCGCTCCTGGCCGGCCGATCCAATCTTGCCAAAGACCACCACGACTTCCTCACCGTCGACGGTGACGGTCCAGAACTTGGACGCCCCACCCTTGGTACAGTGCAGGGTGACCTCCAAGCCTACAGCAAGCGCCTTCTTGGCCTCTTCCACCGACATGGCCTTGGCCGTTGTCATCGTCGTCGCCGTTGTCGTCGTCTTGCTCTTCTTTCCAGACTCTCTCCGGCCGGCGTCATCGTCACCGCGTCGCCGCTTGGGCGTGTTAGTGGCCGAGGCCGAGCTGGCTTTAGAGCTCATGGGTTACAGGAGATGAGGTGGAGTGGAGGTGCGGACGGGGCTGGTGGAGGTGGTGGGGGGGAGGGGAGGGGAGGGAGGGACGGGACGGGTACGGGTACGGGTACGGGGTACCGGGTCCCGGGTCTGAGTTTGCCCATTCCGCATATGTCTGTGGCCCGGTTCGCGGCCCTTAAA